GAACCAAAAAACAGTATTAAAAGCATCAGCTCCAAACATATATGAAGTGACCTTCAAGAGAATGTACACACACTTGGGAAAAATAGACACAAATGCATGATTTATAATGGAATCCAAATTAAAAGTTTCTGTGCATGTGATGGGAAGACATTTATTAAAATTGGGAGAACACATCTACTCTGCCTGCAGCTGAACTACATTAATACTTGGCTGCCCCCTCAATCTGCTGGAATACATGCACGCTTGGTTACTCCTTCCATTAGTTCTGCAAAACCAGCACACAACAGCTGTAGTAACAAACTTTTGCTACTCTGCAACATCATTATCACCTCAGGAAAAAAGTTTCCTTTTAAGATTAAAAGAAATGTTGAAACACCTTAACAAGTTTCAGAGTTGTCCATGCCTTCATCCACACTTCAGAAAAACTATTTACTACAGCTGGTTGAAGCAATTGTTCCCGCTACTATCCCTCCAAACAGGTATATGGATGAAAACAACATTTTTTTTTTTTCCCCTTCCCCTCCCAGCTTCTGCTTTTTTCCACAGTTTCTACAGTGTAGAACAACACACCAATGGTCAACACTTATGCAGCTGCAAGAAAAAGGCAGTCACTCTCACAGGTTTTGAACAAATCTTATTTTTAAGCTGGAAAGCACATTTATATCCCCATCTAACTTGAAAAATGAAAGCCACTTCTTGTGTTCCAGCAGTCAAAGTTGAAGCATAGTACTCCTCCTGCCCTTGAATAATCTTCAGACTACCTCTTAAATTATTTATGAATATTAAGTCTTACAAACAAAAGAAAAATCTATAGTAAACATGACTTTAATCACTATATTTACAAGTCACTTCCCAAACACTTGAAGCATTGATAAAATACACTTCAGGCAGCAGGAACTTTTCTGGAAAAGCATTTTATTTCAAGCCTCATATGAGCAATAGCTGATAGGAAACAGCACTTGTATTCTTCTCTGCTCATCTTCCTTCCTATCAATAAATTTTAGAATAGGTACTATTCTGAGACCAAACCACCAATTTTTTCCAGATGCCATCATAACACAGGAAACAAATTGTACTTCCAAGTCATGTAGTCAGCACAACTTAGAGAAAAATTACCTTGCAGAATTTGGATCAGGGTTACTGAAGCAGACCAGGAAATCCTGCTCTCACTTTCACTACTGAAATGCTCTGCAACACATCTGGTGTAAGAAAACTTACAAGTTGAAACAAACACAGGTGACTCAAAGCCATGCTACAAAGGCCGAATTCAAATTAAAGGTTGATGAGTGCACGTTATGCTTGTCATAAACAACATTTGTAACTTCCATGCCAGTTATTTATATGTCACTAGAAAATGTGATCACCCAGTAATGCTTTACCTGGAGTAGCACAAGTGACAAGCAATAAGTCAAAACTGAGAGCTGCTGGTACTGAATGACCCTGTTGTAGCTGACACACAGCAAGGGCGAACAGTTGAGGCTGCTTCAGGAACGTTAACTCTGAAGTTCTTTGTCGTCATAAAATTAAGATTTCAAGACCTTATGTAATTCACTATCAGTCAGCATGTCTGTGCAACTCTTAAGAGATCAGAAACTTCACTCAATTCTGGAAGCAAAGGTTCTTCCCTAACCCATAATCCTAAGAGCACCCAGAAATTTCTTACGGACCTAAAGAAAAGCAGCTGCCACTACCTACTTCTGCATTTCTTTTATAGACATAAAGATAACTTCAACCTCTAGGCCTGGAAAGCCAGTATCTCCGATATATACCTTTTTCAACCTGTAGTTTGATAATATTTCTTATAATACTTTACAGGTGAGAAGCTGCAAGACACAACCAATACATACTGAAATGAAAATTAGGTCAGTAAAGATTGTGTTGAACAAGACTTAAAGTTCTTATCTCCCAATAAATGTTTCCCAAAAAAATCCACCCCAAAACTTAAAACACCCCACACCACTCAAAACAACAAACAAGCAGAATTTTTCAAAAACCAGAGAACATTATTACATTTTTCTCCGACATTGCAAGGCTTTCAGATAAGGCAGTGAGGGGAGGGAAATTAGATGATCTTACCCAGAGGCAAGCATCATGTACAGTACCTTGGAAAAAAAACCCAGGGAAAAATATTACACAAGTCAGCTGGCTCAGCAAGAATTAAGAAATACCTTGATAAACAGCTAATGATATGAAAGGCAAAGCTTTTGGCTCCAGCTCAGAAAAGTAACTACTCCCATCTGGGCACACCAAACCTCAAGAAGGGTTACAGTTTCACGTGGCACAGGAAAATTTTCACAGCCTTACACAGTCTTGCTTCCATAGCTCCAGTGGGTGGGCATACACCCAGTAGTGTTTAGGCCAATGGCTGAAAGCACACAAGACTAACCAACGTTCTCACAGGGCACAGGTTACCTGTCCTTCCCACCAACGCATGAAGCTGACGGAAACAGAGAACAAACTTCATTACATGGTTGTGCTACCATGAAATCCCACTGCTGCAGACCGGCCTTTACAGGGCATGTAATTTCTTCTCATGTACATATTCCTGCCTAATTAGTCAACCACAACAGAGCTTTATAAGGGGTTTCTTCAAAAACCCCTGACACTTGGAAGAAGACGCCAAACATTTGAAAATACAGCAGCAAATTTTGCATTCAAAAACCACCGTAAAGTAGGAAAAAGCATTTGCCCAGTCTCACAAATATAGTCAAGTCTACTTTCGTAGCGCAAGGCTTGAGTCAAGAAAGGTTTGCTTTCACTGGTAACGCTTTATTTTGGTATTTTTC